GTTTATCAGTGGTTTTTATACGCGTTAATATGAATCCGATACTGATTAAGAGCAGTCCACGATAACGATTAACGATATGCGGCAACTAGTGTTGCACAACACTTGAACGTGCTGGCAACTTGATGCAACTGCCATAAGTTGGCAGCGCTAGCAAACATCTGCAACATTTGCTGCGAGAAAAAGCCGCGTTTTTGTTTGTTTTCCCAAATAATTAAAGAAACACACAACATGTTCGATGTGGAGCCAATTATCGCAGACCACAAGGATGTTATACACGATGTTGTGTTCGATTACTATGGACGCCGCATGGCCACATGCTCGAGTGATCAGACTGTGAAGGTGGGGAAGAACTGAAAGCAAAAATCAAATGCCTTCACTCAATATCAATGTCTCTCTGTCTTTTCCAGATATGGGACGAGGATGACCAGGGCAAATGGTCGGTGACGAGCAGCTGGAAAGCACATTCAGGATCCATTTGGCGTGTGTCCTGGGCCAATCCCGAATTCGGTCAGGTGATAGCTACCTGCTCCTTTGACCGCACCGCCTCCGTTTGGGAAGAGGTAATGGGCGAAAAAGTGACAACAATCACAAATTCGCCCACCCGACGCTGGGTGCGACGCACCACGCTCGTCGACTCCCGCACCAGCGTTACAGATGTCGAATTTGCACCAAAATATCTGGGTCTGCTCCTAGCCACCGCTTCGGCAGATGGCATCATCCGCATTTACGAAGCGCCCGACATAATGAATCTGTCCCAATGGCCAGTGCAGCAAGAGATTGCAAATAAATTGTCATTGAGCTGCCTCTCATGGAACACATCGACTTATATGGTCACCCAGTTGCTAGCGGTGAGTAGAGTGGAAAAGAGCTTTAGACCAATAAATATTTATCGATGAATATCTTTGCAGGCTGGCAGCGATGAATCTGCCACGCCCACTGGCAAGGTCTTCCTATACGCCTACAGCGAAAATGCGCGCAAATGCGTTAAAATTGAAACAGTCAACGATATCACAGATCCCGTGACCGATGTTGCCTTTGCGCCCAATGCAGGACGCACATTTCACATGCTCGCCGTGGCCAGCAAGGATCTCTATATAGTCAATATTCGAGGCGTGACGTGGGTGATCAGTTCATGTATAAATTTATGATATCTATTTATAGTTAACTTTGTATTTCTAGTGATTCGACGGGCGCTGGCAAATTGGAGCTGCAAACGTTGAAGTTTAGCGAACACAATTGCCCCGTTTGGCGGGTCTGTTGGAATATGCTGGCCACGATGCTAATCTCTACCGGAGACGATGGTTGTGTTAGGATCTGGCGCATGAACTACACACGGCAATGGAAGTGTGCAGCGGTGCTCAAGGCGGAGGGCAGTGGACCAACCTATGAACCAAATCCAGCTACGCCGGCAGCGCTGGCAACAACAGCAGCGGCCACAGCAAAGTACTATAAGAAGGGCACCATTGGCAACCAGGTGCCGTGGCATTAAACAATGTCTAGGCAAAATGCGAAACATACATACATATAATCTAATATAGAAAGCTGTTATCTGTAATTTGCATCAGTTTTATATTTGGGGAAGTATTTCACTTACGCCGTGTGCCGTGGCGCATTTTGTTTACACCTTGGCTCAGTGCCAATGTCCGTGTCAGTCTCTGGGTCCACATTTATGTTGTGCTTCACATCTTTCTTTCTCTCAAGGCACGCAGAAAATCACATTACATCACAGAAAGCGAGCAGGAGATGATGGAGCAGCAGCTGGTTCCGTGGAGCAGCTGGTGGAGCACCGTATTTCGTTGCGCGTTACACTTAATATACACAAATATCAAAAACTATATACTATTTGCATATGGACCGGCAACAAGTAACGGCATTTGTTCTTTTTGAATCGCACTCGGAAATAAACAAAACAATTTTCATGCTCGTTGGCAGCGATAAACCGCAAAAATTAATCGAATTTCGTTGATTGTGTACAAAATACGTATCTATGTGTATATACGTACAAGCGAGAGATCTAGGCGCATGTGTGCGTGTGTTATTTGTATGTCATTTGAGTGCATTTGTGTGTGAGTATGTAGTACATTGTATTAGAACTTCAAAGCAACGCCAGCTGGGACAAATGTTGCCCATCTCTCAACTCCAAATTATTATGGCAACATTTATAGCAAGTGCACTTTGTTGCACAGTAAAAGTAAACAAAATAAAAGCTTTTGAGTATAAAAAGTATTGAAATGTTGATTATTAATAACCTGATAATGAGTATAAATAATATTCATGCACGTTCTCAGCGATAACCGAAGCCAAACAAATATTAAACGAATTTTGTTGGCTGCGTACAATATGTGATAGTGTGTGGCTAAGATCTGATAAGCGTATGCATGTGAGAGCATGTGCGCATGTGTTTCATGTGCATGACATATGTACATGTAACTGTGTGAGTGTGTGCTTGCGCTTGTGTGCAGCACATGTATTTAAAATCAAAACAATGTCAGCTGTGAAAGTTTAAAGCTTTCGTTAATTTCAAATGCAAGTAAACTCCTATTTATTATAGCAACTTGTATAGCAAATGCGTATTGTTGTTTCTAGACAAGAAAAAAAAAAAAAAGCTTTAGGGAACAGAAGTGGGATCTTATATACAATTTATACTTTTAATATGATTTATACTTTAAGTATTAGAATAAATATTTGCCTGATATTCACATATGGTTTTTATTTGGGTAATTCTGATAATTTTGATGTCCTACAGTTAGATAATCGCAAATAGATCGCAAATGTTTTCCAACGATTAAGCAATGAATACCCAGCGTACCATTGAGGTCATGCACCATATAAAAGGACAAAAGTACACGATTCTGAACTCGATTCATATAATTTGCGTTTGGCATCATGTGTGCATATATTTATAATCCATTCAGCAGCTGTGCCAATAAAACTCTGATCTATAAATGTAGCTCATATGGAAATTTTTCTGACAGGTTAAACACGGAAAAACCATTCAATGAAGAATAGCAAACAGCAAAAGAAATCACATAATATTCCACTTAATTGACTCGAACCGCAATAAAACCCACCAAAACAATTCAAATCCATATGGAGGTCTTTAATATTATATATTTCCATATACATATGTATATCCACCCTGAGTGTTCGTCCTGTTGCTCTGAATGTTATCCAAGAAATGAAATGAATTTTGGCTTTTGCTTTGGTTTTTGTAGGTGAACTCGTTCGTATCAACCCCTAATAAATGCGAAGAGTCGATGATGTGTTAGGTCTTCTGTCCCGTGGCCGAATGATTGTCTCTAATTGGAAGTTTTGACGTGTATATTACGTTGATCTCGGCCCTGGGAACACCCCAGAAAAAATATGCATGTAAAAATCATTGAGACTTTTTTTTTTTGGGGTGGTATTTCTGCGTGGGAAGTCAAAGCGGGCGAAACTCTCACATGACACGTAGAGCCTGGAGAGCTGAGAGATTTCAGCCCTGGCAACGCGTTAAATATTGAAAACATTTATGTTTAACCTTCAGTGTTAAATTAATGCGCAGAAGATTGTTTCAATTCAATGACAACAACAACAACAAGAAGAGCAAAAAGGAGGGCATGGAAGGCTTCCCTTAGGGGTTGTTATCCTTGTGCCTTGTTGCTTTTGCTGGTTGTTGGTACGGAAACGCTTATTACATCTATTTGAATAGAACTTTTGGCTTCTTCTCTGTGCCCCTTTGGCCGCAAGTACTTGAAATCTTTGCTGCTTGATATCATTTAATTACGTAATTTCGTAATTTCAATTAAACTTTAATTTTTGTGTGGGAACATTTTACTTTTAGATGATAAGATATTTGAAACATTGTGTGTAAGGATTTGATTTTAGTTGTATTTTTTTTTTTTCTTTTATTAATTTCATTGTGTACAATAATAAAATTATTTACAACAAAGAAAATTTAAGCTAAAATCAATTTTATTTTACATATGTTAAATGATTAAAAAAAATTTCTCTTATTTTAATAAAATTGTTTACACGAAATAATTATATTTATATATTTATGATCATTATTTTTGTTGGTTTATATTTTTTATTTATAATTATTAATTATAAATATATGTATTTTTTTTAATTTTTATTTTTACTAATTTTCTTTAATCTCTTATCTGAAATTTCTTCAACTTCAGGTAGTTTTCTCTGCACTAACCTTTCCTTTGTCGAGCAAGTCAGTTGGAAATGGATTACGTCTGTGGCTTAAGGTTGCTCAGGGGCTTTGTCTGGTTTAGGGTTTGTTGGGCGCTTAGACCCTTCACACCTTAGCACAGCCTGTTTTTAATTACGCTCAGAAAATGTCGCACTAATTCGTTAGGGTTTTTCGCTGTGTTCGTTTTGTGTTTTAGTTAACGCTTTGTCGTTATGCAAATTGCCAACTGGTAAACCACTAATAAATATGGATGCTCAGCGCTCAATGCACGCTTGACCCCCAAAAACAATGCTGAAGGGTTGGACCCACAGCCTGACCAACGGTCAGTGGTCAGTGGTCAGTGGTCAGTGGTCAGCGGGAGTGGAAGCGGAAGCAAAGGGTCGTCGACAGTGGCCAGAGCTTATTAGTCGCGATTATCTCTTCCAGTTCAATGGGTTTCATGCAGCGAAATATTACCAAAAGCAGATTTACATATCCATTTGCTTATTTAAACAAATTATTTTGAAATGGAATTGGAAAACAGTTTAACGCAAAACAAGATGGAAGTGAGAGAACTATCTGCATTTGTAAATATATCTGCATATATATATATATATGTATACCATATTATAATTATGGGATTGGTGTTAGTAAACGTTGGAGAATGCCGGCTCTAGGTAAATCCTTCAATTATATATCATCCTTCTCGCATTGTAATTAGAGTAAAAGGAATACAAGAAGAGTTAACTATCACATTAGGAATATCTCTGAAACTACTATTTTTAATATAAAAAAGTATTTTTTTTTTCTTTTTTTTCATTATAAAAATATTTATTTTTGTATTTACACTTAATTTTAGGTTTACAAAACTTTTGCCTTTAAAACCTATTCGTAGAAAAATGTAGAAAATTTCAGTTGTACTTATGCTAAGCATTTATAACTATATACAGAGAGCAAGGAGTTCAGGGAGCTAGAGCTCCTTAGATTTTCACAACTTAAGGGCTATCACACATGTTCGGCTTTGATCGATCTTTGACTAGAACTTGATTGCCAACTATTATTTGGAGTTTGTGGATGTGGGATTTAATGGACCATTTGGGAAACCAGAGATTCATTGAATATGTGGGAAGTGTTTGCAATATTCCCAGCTTCTCAATTAGTTGAGATTACACAGTTTGGAATGAGTTCAAAATTATTAGACTGGAATTATTTGATATTTTTTGAAAATTATTTGGAAAGTATTGAGAACTTTTAAAAATGTTGTATGTTTTTTTTTTTTTTAAGAATTTTTTTCCTGAATTTTGCAGTTATTTGGAATTTTAGCAATTCGTGGTTTAGTAGGCCATTTCAGCGCCCCAGGGTCTATAGGGCTTAGCTCCATTGGCTGCGGCATATTGCAGGGCGCTCGCATTGTAATCCTGGCTGCCAGCAACTGGATATTGGGGCGTGGCACTGTAGCTGAGAGTCCCGCTGGGCGGCAGCTCGTTGCGATGGCTGTTCGTCAGCTCAATGTAGGTGGGCACCTGCTGCCCCTGTTGCACCTGTTGCACCGACTGTGGCACCTGTTGCGGCTGCTCGGCATGTGCGCTATGCTCCTGTGTATAATGTTGCTGTTGTTGCTGCTGCTGTTGTTGCTGTTGCTGCTGTTGCTGCTGTTGCTGCTGCTGCTGTTGCTGTTGTGGTTGTTGCTGCTGTTGCTGTGCGGCTGCCTCTGCCGAGTGGCTCTCGCTGACAGCTGCACCACTCGCCGTGGTCGCAACGCTGGAGCGGCTGACATGATGCGGCGAGGCGCCCATATAGCCCCCAGTGCTGGGCACATACGAGGAGCTGGCGGAGGGCGCAACGGCAGCCGTTGCATAGGCTGTCTGATAGGGCGTGGCCGCACAATTGGGCTGATAGGCAGCCACGCCAGAGATCTCGCGCTGCTGGGCAAAGTACTGCAGGTGCGACATCAGGCGAAGCCGCAGTGGATCCTGTATATCCATGCCCTCGATGGTGACCAGGTAGCGTGCCACCTCGGCGGCGCATTCCCTGAACCCAATCGTATGGTAGTCCATGGCCACGCGCTGCGGATCGTAGCTGAGCGAGTCGAGAGCTGCAAATGGACAGAAGAAGACGAGGCATTAATAAAAAGTCAATAAGCTGCTCACGGCTCGTGGCAAACGATTCAAAGAGCGATTCCCACGCGCGCGCCTATCAGAAACTAACAACAACAACAACAACAACAAAAACAAAAAACAAAAAACTACCCCTGAGCCATAGCCTGACTGGGAATTGAGGTTTAGGGTGGGGGGTGGTGGGGTGGGGTTGTTCGTCGCTTGAATTGCACTTGGTGCCATAAGCGGGTGGCGATGGTGGTGGTGCTTTAGTGGCATTAAGGTGGTGCAGCGGGCAGTGAGCAGCGTGGGAAGCTTCGAGATTCGATATTCACTCGCTTTCCCTATGCAAGTCTCTAAGGTCAACAGGTTAAGCATTGTTTAGCCAGCTTTATGATAATATATGACAAATTATTGGAGAGATTTGATGAGGGAAAACTGAATCTATTGCTATTGGTCTAGTTTACTGCGTTCTAATTTGAATTGTGTTTTATACGTTTTTTAGGTAAATAAAAAAATAAATAAAAGCAATAAATATATAAAAGATACAAAAATATGTAGAAAATATATGATATGGTTATATAACTGAAAATTGTCTAAAATTAAATTATATGCATGGTTTTTGCCAGAATATTATAGTTTGCTTAGAGCCCTTTGAAATCACAGATAAAAGTGTTTTAAATGATAAAAAAAAGGTTTTAATAACCAGAACTACTTAGTCATCAGAAAAGCTTCTCTTATTTTTAACGATCGTTTCTATTTAGCTATCAAATACCTAGAAATTTTCTAAAAATCTATATATTAAATATGACAGAGCTTTTTGCTTATAGATTTTCAAAATGGTTTCCTAACTATATTTTTTATATAAAAATGGCATAAAAAATCGTTAAACCATTCTTATTTTCACATTGATTTTTAAAGGAGTTACGTGAATAAGGAGTGTCAACTGATCAAGAAGTATCATTCACATTTATCCTTTAGATATTTTTCTTAAAATTCAATTTTAATAAAAGTTTTCATAGTTTGGGCTTATCGCCTGCAAATTCGACATCAGAGTTAGAGGTAGCTTCAATTTCATGATCTTTCAAATTGTGCAACTAGTTATATCTTCTGGTATATATGTTCATAAATACACTTTCTCAGTCTTGATTTCTTAGACTCTTCAAGTGTATATAGAGATCTATATAGTCGTCTTTCACAAATCTCATTTTCTCTTTAACATTTTTCAAATGTTGACTGTGCTACGAAGGGCCTTTCCGGTATTTCACTTTATGCCTGTCCTCATCTTCCTTCATCTTTGATCTCATACTCACTTTTCGATTGCAAGTTCTTCAAGTGCTCCACAGTTAGCTGCAGTATCTCGGCCTTCTCCAGCTTGGCTGAGCCCTGTTTCTCGTAGGCGGAGGGAACCAGACGCTTCAGCTCGGTCAGCGATGAATTGATGCGATCTCTGCGCTTCTTTTCGATGACGCCGCGACGCTTCTTGCGGCTCATCAGCTGACAGCTTCCACCTTCACCAGGTGAGATTCTAATTGTGAATAAAAAGAAAGACAGAGAAACTGTTAGTAAATTCACAGAGTTCCATTTCACAAGTCTATCGCGCATACGCACTGTTCTTTGGAAGACTCCTCCGAGTAGAGCTCGTCGCAGTCGCTCTCGGAGAGCGCGCGCTTCAGACTGTTGTGCGAATGGTGGCTCTGGTGACTCTGAAGGCTATGATGGCTCTGCAGGCTCTGGTGACTGTGGCTCTGCGGCGGCGGCACCCAGTGACCTTGGGGCGTGGCCGGCATGGCGGCAGCAGCGGCGCCATAGCCCCAGTGATGCAGAGGAGGTGCATTCACGTGCATATTGTGCTCCATTGAATTGAATTGAATTGGAATTCGAATTGGAATCGGAATTGGAATTGGAATAGAATTGGAATAGAATTGATTTTTATTTGCTGTTGGCTATTTTGGTCTTTATCTCTGGAATCACTTGGTAACTGCGCTTAGCACTAAAAAACTTGATGCGGCTCGCAGCTATAGTTGTAGTTGTAGTGCGTAGCACGTGACTTATCGTGTGCGCGAACGGCGTTCGACTGATTTGCCAGCACACGACTAGCGGACGTTCAGGCCGCCGTTTGCCCAACCTACTCTCAACCCCTTTTGCCATGCCGCTGCCTGCGGCATCCAACAGCAGCAGCGGCCCAATAAGATGCCGCAGCAACCACCCCCTTGGCAACGTGAAGCGCAGCGCGTGCCGCACCGGCTGGGGGTAGCTAACGGGCAGTGCCCGTGCTCTATGCTCTATGGCACTACCTCAGCCACCGCCTCTGCTGCTGGCTCTGCCTCTCGCTCTGCCTCTGCCTAGCGATCAGCTTCTGCAAGTGACCAACAAATGAACAAGGAGAAGAGCATACGCTGCGGAAGGAGTGGGGGAGAGAGAGAGAATGAGCACGTTGACTCATTCGCACTTGCAGCATATTGTTAATACCCAGTGCAAGTGATTGACAAAGGGAGTTTAGATAATAAGAGAATGCGAAAGAGAGAACTTTGCAGTTTTTAGTTATTAATATAAATATTTTTAAATGCAATTATATATTTGTATTTATTCAGCTTAGAATTGGCTTAGATCGATAAATATCGGTTATCGTTTGAGGCCTCATTTAAATAAATTATTTTTGTATTATATTTTATATTATAATTCTTATTTTTGTAGTATAGGTTTTGTAAATATTTTTCAATTAGATCGATAATTATCGATATACCAATTATTTATTAAACTATAAAGGTAACTCTATACATACATTTATGGAATTTTTGTATTATTAAATCAACTACGTTCTTTATCAATGTATCTTTATTAAAGAGCTTAGCTATCACTCTCACAAAATGTAATCGATATACATACATCGGTTAAAAGTCTTAGGCGAGCTTCACAGTTTCCAGCACTAGGCAACCATTAGTTCTCTTCCTAAAATCCAATCTAAATATTTGAATACAGGGTAGCTGCTAGTCTTTCAATTTTTTTCACTGAAACACTTTAATATCTTCTAGCCAAGTGCAATGCAAATGAATAATGTAAATAATTGTTATTAGTTAGTTCTTATGTCATCGAATGTCGATTATATCAAGCAGCAGCAGCAGCAGCAGGAGCAGCAGGATGCGTGGCAGCAACAACAATAACGGCAGCCGCAGCATCGGCGCCGTGGGCGGTGGCCGGCGTCTGCCACAGTTTGTCGCATTGTCTTTTTGGCGGCCACTTGCCAGCGCGTTGACTTGTTGCCTCTGCTGCTGCCGCTGTCTCTGCCTCTGTCACACACACAACTGGAGCACGCGACCGAGCCGCCAGCCCGAACGGCCGCCGGGCTCGTGTGCGGCATGTGGCATGTGGCATGCGGCTCCAACAAGTGCAACGCCGCCCCGTTCTATTTGCTCTCTGTGTGTGGCCCGGCGCCCGCAGTTTGTAGGTCAGTGGTCCAATTTATGATTTCAAGGTTAGTTTGGAGCAGGTGCCGCAACGCCGTTGACCTCTGACCTACTCAATGCCCACAGCAACAACAATCGATTGTTCTCTCAGCCCAAAGGAGGCTGCGCTCAAATTGAATGATAATAAATATTAGATAACAAAATTATTAAAGTGCTGGATTTGCAATGAAATATTAAAGGAGTTTAAAGGGTAAGGAAAGCAAATAAAAATAATTAAAACAATAAATTTTATTAAGTGATAAGTGTATAAATTAGTATTATTTATTATTTTTTATTATCACTATTTATATTTATTATTTTTCTTATTATTTCTATATTCAAGGCACATAAAATCCATCAATCCATATTTTTTGTTATATTCTTGACATCGGACTAATACTAATACTAAATACTTAAGCAAAAATCAAATAAGCTAAAATATCGAAATTATATTAAAATATACATGGAAAGTGCACATATTGCTATATCAATTATGTTATATATAATTTTTATATGTGCGAGTGAAGAGATTATGCCAAATTATGCCTCAGGCTTATGCTACATTTTTCTTAGGATACTCCAATAGTAACAAGAAAAGTGGAGCAACTACTCATAGCCCCCATTTTAACATCTCTCTTTAATTTGATAGAAGATCACTTCACACTCTAGGCTCAATTTCGGTAAGCATTTATAATAATTTATATATAATTTATTTGTATTATATAAATATAATATATAATAATTATATTTTTTTTCTCAAATTTAATATAATAAAATAAATAATAAATATTAAAACAAATATAAATAAATAAATACTACATACATACTAAACATATATGTATGTATATGTAATACACATTAGCTGCTTGACTTTCTCTAAGTCAACAAAAAGAAAGAACTAAGTAAAATTCTTTCAAGCTAAGCACAGTGTGTGGCTGGCTCCACAAATCAAATAAAATACAGCCAGACATGCAAGCCATTTAATTTGCAGACAATTTTCAAAGTGTACAGCGCGGCGTATGCTTGATATTGGCTGTGAGGGAGAAGCAGTAGAAGAGGAAGCAGAAGTCTCCACCTCTCACATTGTATCGATTTCATTTTGGCAAATAAAAATGATGAAAAGTGCTTTTCGAGCTCGTCGCTCAGGTTCCCAACAACAACAAGAAGCGAACCAAGAAGCAAGTTCATATGAGAGTTGTAATTGTTGTTAGCGGCGCGTGGGACAACGCCAACACCAACGGCAACAGCAACAACAACAAGAGACGAATAGTTGTTGGCAACAACTCACCCTTAAGGCTGGTTGCAGCCAGCCGAGCTACCACCACAGCGAGCCGCAGTGAGTGAAAAATGGCTCGTGGGAAAGCCAAAGGTTCGACGATTCTCACGCATGTTCAGCACGTGCGGGTCGTGCGACCATCTACAACAACAACAAGAGTGAAACAACAACACGGGTAAGAAAAGCGCAGACCAAATCGTTTGAAGTGCATTTAATGCACGTCGAGCGATACGAGCGTCGCTTTTGTTGTACTACGATTTTCCATACACTAACCAAAGCGATATTCACGATCTGTTATAAAACAGGTGGTGAAGTCAAGGTGCTAAGGTGTATGTTAATATATAATCTAAACTTCTCTCTCTCTCTCTCTGCCTCTATATCTCTGCCTCTCTATATCTGCCTCTCTATCTCTCTTTTTCTTTCTCTCTCTCTCTCTCTCAATCTCTCTTTCTCTCTCTCTCTCTCTCTCTCTTAGATTCTCAAGTGAAACAACAAGTAAAATATATTCCTTATATAAAACTTTTCGAAAAGAACTCCAAGCAATTGTTAGGGCATTCAAACTTCGCCTCGACGAATTCCCGTTTTGCTTAATGGCTTTTTTTTTTGTAATTGTAATCGTAATTCTAACCAATTTTTATATAATAAAAAAATAATGAAAATTGGCTAGCGATTATAATCGAGCGTAGTAAATGAATTTTAAAATGCCGCGGACAGAGCTGAAACATTTTAGACCAAATATAGCTCGAACTAATTGTGAAATGTGGAGAAAAATGTGTGAGCTTTAAGAGCTCCAAAATGCATGACAGTTGTTGTTGTTGTTGTTGCTGTACTACTTCATCTTCAATTCTCCGCTTGTTAAACAATAAAACATTCAAAACTCGTTGCTTTCAATATATGTAGTTCGTATAATTTTCGAAAAACAATTGGAAACTCTGTGAGGGACAGGAAAAAATCCATTTTAGGGAAATTTCTGTTAACATTTTTCCAGCTTTAGAAACTCTTAAGGCATTGATTATAGTTGTTGTTGTTGTTGTTGTAGTTACTGCTGACTTGCTGCTGCTGCTGCTGTTGCTTCTTCTTTGACTTTTGGCTGCTTTGTAGTAAATTTTGCGCCTCGTCCGCATCATCGATCCAAGTTTCCAGGGTGCAGGCGCTGGAATGATGACTCGATCTCTGGGAATGATTTGAGCTGCTCAGCCGTTTGCCACTGGGCAGCGCCTGCAGCTGCCGCCAACGGCTGTCGAAGTTGGCCCAATGCTGGCGCAGATCGAAAGGCTGCTCCACATCCTGCTCCTCCTCCAGGGAGTTGCCATTGATGTCCCACTTGACAATGGGATAGTCGTCATGCGGTGGCTGCTCTCTAATTATCAAATTGTGATACTGCCCATCGAACTGGGAGCCCAAACTGAAGCTGAAACCGCGCTGCTCCTGCTCCCGATCCTGCTGCAGATCGAGACTGGAATTTGAGGGCGTGTGCCGCAGATAGCGCACGTTCTCCTTGTAGTGCATCAAGTCGAATTGTATATCTAGATGTGAAGGCTCTTCCTCCAGCTGCTCCTCGAACTCCTCGTCGGCATCTTCACACTGGGATTGGACGGATCTCTGTGGTTGATTATTGTGGTACGCGTATTGCTTATCATTCAGGGCAACTGGATTGCAGTTGCAGCCCATCGGCTCCTCCTTCTGCTGCTGCTCTCGCTCCTTCGCCGCCTCCGCCTCCGCCTCCTCCTCCTCATCCTCGTCCTGCTCCTCATCCTCCAGGCGCTGCACAAATAGTTGCTTTGATGTCGATATTTTGCGCAGCAGCTGTATAAAAATAAAACTCAATGTTAATGCGCATCAGGCGTAGCTTTAGGCTCGCTCCTATTCTGGGTGCTGCTATGACTGGTGTTACTGGCGCTATTACAGCTATTGTCGCCCCACCAAAAGGTCAGCGCCACACGCAGCTATCGATTTTTATACGCTTTACTCATTTTGCCAAATGCTTATGGAGTATATGGGTTTTGGGCAAGAGCTTGTGTAGGGGAGTCTAAGGAGTCCTAAAGACAGCAAATTGTAGATATATCTATGTATGTCTGTCTGCCTACCAGTCTATCTGTTTATATCTTCATCTAAAAATTAAATTTTTTATATTTTTATAAATAAATTTATTTTTATATATTAAGAAATTGAATATTGACAACTCTTCTCTTTGTTTCCCACTTGCATAAATATTATTATATTTAATAAACAGCGGCCTTTAGCAAATACCTTGAGAACTGCTTGAGAAATCCCATACCTGAAATAAATGCTTCAGTTATTTATTAACTTTCTACATTTCGATTTTGAGATATAAGCAGAAGAGTCTTGATATATTTATACAGTAGAGTC